GAGCGGCTGGAATTATTCCGAACAATTCCTCAGAGCACTCCCCGTGATAGATGCGATAAAATACGCAAAGAGATGCAACATCTCTACGCAGTGCCAGTGCATCGAGCCGATCAGAAAGAGCTCGGTCGTCGACGATTCGAACCGCTCTGCGCTGGATGCGGTCAAGTGGAAGGAGCTGGCACTGGGGTTCCCCGGCCCAGAGATGAGAACAGTATTCCATGTGGGGCCGAACTTGCGCTTTGTAAAGTTACTTACCTGAAAAAGCACTTGCGCGGTATAAAATTCGACGGCGACAATGAGATGATGTGTGCTGTAGAGCCCGTTTTCGAATCCTAGCATTAAGCGTATTTTTCCAAGGGAATATACATACACATACATACATATAATCACGCCTCTTTTCCGTAGGGGTAGGCAGAGGCCACTTCTTTCCACTTGCTACGATCCTTACATACTTGTTTTGCTTCGTCCACTTTCATTACTCCCTTCATACATGCTCTACGGTTTAGGGTACTCTTGACCTGGCCTTTTTTCAAGACGTCCCTGATTTGGTCTAGAAATGTCCGCCTAGGTCTACCCCTTCCAAGACTTTCATTCACACTCGCCTTATACAGTTTTTTCGTCAATCGTTCTTCATTCATTCTCTCGACATGACCAAACCATCTCAGCATACCTTTCTCAATTTTTGTGACTACATCTTCTTTCAGACCACAACGTTTCCTTATCTCACTATTTCTTATCCTGTCACTCAGTTTAACTCCTATCATACTTCTTAATGCTCTCATCTCAACTGCATTTATTCTGCTTTCATGTTTCTTCTGCCATATCCAACTCCAAAAAAACCAAACAACAGAACCAACACCTCCTCATGCACAGCCAAACGAGCCTTGTTAGACACCTTCCGACTGCTCATAAAGGAGTGCAAAGCTCCATTCACCATGTTTCCTGCATTCACTCTTCTTTCAATATCACTCTCACACTTTCCATCTCTTGTAAACTTTGAACCCAGATACACAAACTCTTTTAACAAACAATAGAAAATCATAAAATTAATTAGTTTTTTATTACCATGGCGAGATATTCGTATTCGTATCCGCCGAATAATAGGGTTGATATTCGTATTCGTATTCGTAAAAGTAGTATTCGTTGCGACATTAGTTTTAATTTCACAAAAATCTTCAAGGTTTACGGATAAATTATAGCCTAGACCCTAGACCCTAGATCACTCGTTGCATTACTCTCTTTCTGTTCGTGAAGTTTCATCACAATCGGTTCAGCTATGCCGAAGATTAGCCCGGACAGATTGACAGACAGACAAATTATAATTTTTTTATAGGACAAGGGTGACAAACGAGCCCACAGTCCAGCTGATGGTAAGTGGTTGCTGCGGCCCATAGACATCTACATGAAATACAGATGTGTTGTCACCCGCGAGGACTAAGATGGAATGTCTCATTTCCAATAAAAAGGGTCTCCGGTTCTCTACACTCACCGTACTAAACACTATTCTGTGTATTCTGTGAGAACGTGGTCCTTCCCCGGTCGAGCCTATATATACAACTATACTACTAATATAGCTGCAGCATGGCTCTACCACGTAAAGACTTGCACTCTTCTTTCGATATCACTCTCACACTTACCCACTTTCCCACTTTCGAAGGGAATATCCAAGGGAATATACCAACTTAAAAAAGCAATTCAAGGTGTATTCACTTAAAAAGCGATTACGTTGAAAAATAAATAATAACACTTATCCCAAAGTTTCATTGAGTCCCCAAAAAGTTTTGATCAATCTAGTGTAATGCGTATTTACGAAGCATAACTTTAAAATAATGTTTTACATTAGGTCGGTATATATATCTTCTTTATATATAAAAATTACATGTCACATTGTTTGTCCGCGATAAACTATTAAACCACTAAAATTATTTAAATGAAATTTTGCACACTGTGTGCAGTTTGGTCCAATATGAGAGATAGGATAGTTTTTATCCCGATAAGTGACGCTCAGCTTTTTTACTGCGAATTTAAGGATTTTTATAGTAAAAAGGTTCGCCGCTAAGGGTAGAATAACGTCTGCCTGGCTAGCTAGTACCTAAGTATATTGAAATATGGTCAGTTGAAATAGTGCTGTGTAGAATAAGTAAACATTTTGTATTTATTGTTTAAGGAGATTGCATAGTTTGAAAATAAATATATATTATTATTATAAAGGAACTGCCGGTGTTAAAAAAAAATAATTAAAAATACTAGCAGTATTATTATAGCATTAATAATATACATAAAGTTCCCGTTAACAACTTCTGGTAAGCTTAAAATGTTAGAAGTGGTTCACGACAGTAGTCGAATGGCGGATTCGAATCCACAACAAAATTTTGAATTCGCAGTTCGCACCCTACCATTAGGTAGGTTAGATCTTATAAATTTTAATTCTGCCGCGCAGTCGTAAGTAGGCGTGTTGAAAAAAATAACAATCCAAGGTAATCGGAGACGTGTCGGACCCTGACATTGAGGCATCACTTGGCCCGCGTCGGATGCTATGATTGATGGAAAGGAAACACTGGCTCTCAAGAAAAGACGGGGATTTTTTTAATAGTCACGAGCTCTCAGAATCATTTATCACGATATTTTTAAATGTTCAAAGTATATAATTAGTTCCTGTCTGCGACTGTTTTAATTACTTTTGCGAATTATTATTAGAGATTTGGCGCCGATCACTCTCAGTTCGCAGCAGTTTATTCGATAATTACTGAACTAAAGCAAAAGTGGCGTTCTATCAGAATGACAAAGGGTTAAAGGAATGACACATAATCTGAAATAATAGTTATTCAAATGCTTATTGAAAAATGTATAGGTGTTTAGAAATATTATAGTAATATTATAGTGATGTTCTTTTATAAATGCTAGTCACCCAGTGATCGAAATTTGACCGTATTAAATTTTAGTATGTAGGTATATTAAGCAGGCCGTATTTCATTTACAAATGCTCAATAACAAACAATATACCAGGAAAACGAAGTATCTCGACAGAATATTGAAAAAGGAATATTTGAAATCACATAAAGTTAACAGCGTAATTATTTATCAGCATGGAATTTTTCTAGAATGTTGATTAAAGAGGTAAGCGTAGAAACTACGAGTATGTTACATAAACAAAAAAAAATGATGTGCCGTGTGATGGCGGGTTTCACCCTTTTACGTCCCGTGGGCACAGAATAACCGTGAGTGTTAAAAGAGGCGACTGTGGGAGTGTTCGAAAGATCTTATGGTTTCCGACAATCAACAAATGGCGGTAAAATCATCATCGAGGAGCAGCGTCGAATAAGTATTTGCGATCACTAATTCGTCCACCAAGCGTGGCCATTATATCATATCCCATAATAGGAGAGGCCTTCCGCTTTCAAATATTAATTTTTTGAATGCGGCTGTTAATCATGAGGTACTGAGTTTGAATTCCGGGTTGGGCCAAAAAAGATCAGTTATTGACTTTTCTGTCAAGAAATTCTAAGTAGCTGCCCAGAGTCAGGAAGTTGGCGGTGTCTCAACCACCCGTGCCTCGGAAAGCACATAAAGCCGTTGCTCGTGCACCTGATCTCTCTCCGGTCGTATCAGTTTACCGTCCCATCGGACTATGAGAGTGAGGGAGTAGAGAGTGCACTTGTGCTTGGGCATACACTTGGGTACTATAATACTGTCTTGCGCTGATGGCTAGTCACCGTTGAGTTATTCACTTTTGGCCCAATCCATGTACCTGAAACATCAATTCGATAAAATTCATTCATGAACATAGGCCTCCCCCAGCAATGTCACAAAGTATGGTCCTGAGCCATCTGCATCCATCTACTTCCTGCATATCTTAAGTTGTCACTCCATTTAGTGGAGGGTCGCTCTAAACTTCGCCTACCAGTACGAAGCTGCCACTCAAGAACCTTCCTAAACCCCGAGCATAGCCCTCTCCATAACTCGCTGAGTGACCTTGAGCGTCCAGCAGTGAATGAACACTTCTTAGATCCATATGTCACTACTAGTAACATGTACTGGTTGTTCTTGTTTTAAAATTTTGAGGCATACCTGACGAGAAGATGTGACGTAATCTCCCGAACGCTGCCAGCCGAGTTAATCCTTCGATTGGCCTTTTGGTCGAAGTTGGACTTACCTAGTCAGACTATTTGTCCCAGGTAAACATACTCGTCAACAACTTCGAGCTTAGTGCTCCCAACAACTACCGGAATGGGTGTGACATGAAAGTTACACATAATCATTGTTTTGTGCATGTTCATTTTAAGACCTATCTATTAAGGTCATAAAGCAACTATATCAACATATACAACTACATGTAGGTAACTATATCATCTGCAAATCGAAGGTGAATGATGTAAGAGTTAAATAACTAAACTTAAAAATTAATTAACTGCCTTCAAAAACTATAAAGGATAAAATTATTTACACAATTTAATAGCTTTTGAAGCCTCGTTATACTTCGTCTTTGCATCGACGCGATTCGACGTGCAGTGACGTTTAGGTTCAATGCACTAATTTGCGTCTTTTAATTTCATCTTCAGACATTTCTTTTTCTAAAAAGGGAACTCTTGAGATCACCATCTGTAGTATCAAGTGGTACATTTGAAGTACCATTTAAAGATAACATTATAGCAAGGAACACTTTCTCTTATTTTTTCTCTTACAAAAAGCTTTTCTCGAACTCTACGAAAAGGATTTTCTCCTGTATCGTGGAGGTTTTGCGTTCATGAATTGCACATGTACTCATTCAATGTAATCATTCAAATCCGGAACAATTATTTGTAGGCCATACATACACCCGTTCCGTGCGGGACTCAAACCCGCGGTTTCGAGCTGTAACTATTTATGCATATTTTTTACATTTTGATTGATACAATTCCAGGTATTAGTGTCCATTTTGAAACTAACTACTTGCGTCGCTGTACCCCTGAAGTAACTCGCATGTTATATATCCATTTTCTAACGCATGTCCCGTCCTCCAGGAAACCGCGGCTGGATTCTGAGCTAGACGTCCAGGCTCAACTACTGGACGCTTCTGCCGCCAAGCACAAGCTAGCTGTACGACCGAAAAAGAATCATCCGAAGAGCAAAACGAAGTCGTATAAAACTGCTGATGGAGAAAGGTATTTACTTTTAAATGATCCTTGATGAAAATTCCTGAAAGCTAAATACTGTAATTCAACGAATAGCCTGTGGTAGCTCAGGGAATAAGTACTAAACCTTAAGTCATTTTACAGTACGTGAGCAAACTTCTACTACTTTAGTAAGTGGTAGAACCACGTTACATCTATATTATGGTTATTGCAAAAATGGGTCGGATCGATCGGGGAAGGAATGTAGAATCCACTTTTTTCTTGGCATCACTCTTCAGTGGGGCCCCCATATATCCAAACTAGCAAGCAGACTATGTACCGCAGCCTATGCTGTAAAAAAGATTAGAGGTCTCACTAGTGTCGAGACAGCTAGATTAGTTTATTTCAGTTATTTCTATAGCATAATGTCTTATGGGATTTTGCTATGGGTAAGTGCGGCTGATTTAGAAATTATTTTTGTTTTACAGAAGTGTGTCATTAAATTATTTACAACCTAAATCCGAGAGAGTCTCTAAGAGAAAAAATTAAAGAAATAAATATGTTAACTTTGGCCTCAATATATTTACGAAAATCTAATGTATGTTCACAAAAACAAAGTTAGTATTAATAAAAAAAAGTGATTTACAATCTTTAAACACTAGTAACAAACAAAATACCAGTTTCTCTACTCCACAGAGTCCGTAATTCTTTCTTGAGGCAATGTATACGCTATTACAACAAAGTCCCAGAAAATATACAAGCTCTCCCTACTACCAAGTTTAAATATTTTATTAAACAAAAACTGTATAAAAAAGGGTTATTATAATATAAATGAATACATGGTTGATAATAACCCCTCTGAATGAGGTGGTCGCTTCCAAGCTGTTTCTAAAATAAATTTTGTTAATAGTTGTACAACTGTTCATGTAAAATTTACTTTAAAAAAGGCCCGCTAGGTTTCTTACTGGTTCTTCCTAGGACAGAGGTTTTTTTTCGATCCATTGGTATAGTAAAAAATTACTTTTAATAAGAATTACAGATGTGATCTATATTGAATAAAAATATTTTATTCTATTCTATTCTAATGCCAGCGTAAAATAGCAGCTCAATGCTCCTGTGTTCCGTATCCATTTGACTGGAAACGAGGCATTCCATCTTAGTACTCAGAGGTGACAACGTATCTGCATTTTGATTATTGTAGATATATTATATATCCACGTACTGTGGGTGTACTGTACGGTTTTTTTTTTATAGGATAGGGTGACAAACGAGCACACAGTCCACCTGATGGTAAGTGGTTGCTGCGGCCCATAGACATCTAAATCTATCCTCGTTTGCGAATCAAAATGCAGATGCGTTGTCACCCGTGAGGACTAAGTTGGAATGCCTCTTTTCCAGTAAAAAGGGTCTCCGGTTCTCTACACTCACAATACGAAACACAGCAGCGTTAAGCTGCTATTTTACGCTGGTATTCTGTGAGAGCGTAGTCCTTCCCCGGTCGAGCCGACCCATTCGGGCTACAGCTGTACTACTAATATACGGTGGACTGTGACAAACGAGTAGTTTGCCATCCTTATTCTATAATAAAAACTGTCAGCACCAATGAAATTGTTTTAATTGATAATAAAGATTGTGTTCCAATTTTAAATATTAATTAACCACATGCTCGGTGGTGAAGGAAAACATGGTAAGAAAACTGCATGTTTGCAATTATCATCATTACAGCATATCGAATATTCACTTACTGAACCTAGGGCTCCCCACGTTGCAATGTTTGGCAGGCGTATTGGCAACCACAGTAGGGAGTTTTTTTTATAAGATAAGGGTGACAAACGAGCACACAGTCCACCTGATGGTAAGTGGTTGTTGCGGGCCATAGACATCTACAGATGTAGATCCTCTGTTACAAATCAAAATGTAGATGCGTTGTCACCCGTGAGGACTAAGATGGAATGGCTCATTTCCAGTAAAAAAGGCCTCCGGCCACCTGTACTCACCAAGCGAAACGCAGAGGTAAACCTCTACTTCACGCTGGTATTCTGTGAGGTCGTGGTACCAGCCCGGTTCGAGCCGGCCCATTCGTGCGACAGCTAAAGCTGCCGCGTGGCTCTACCACTGTTAAAAATTTTGGATAATTTCGAATTGTTATCGGGAATATGCTACTGGCCATTTCCTGTTTCATTCGCCGCTTCTGTCGCATCGTCGTCGAAAGCGTGGACTCCTTACCCGTTCGAGCCGTCTCATTTGTACCGCAACTAAATTAAAGCTGCATTGCGACTCTTCCACGTATTATACGAACAAGTGTCTAAAATATGTCTTAAGAGACGTAGACTAATCATAGTAATTTATATATTCTTACATGTGAACAAACAAACCGCTTTATTGTGACGTCAGATTATGTTCTACTTCATCTACATAAACCAAAATAGTCTTCAGACATGTCCTATATACAACAACGAAGTATCGTGCATTACTCCGCTCACGACAAAGGCTGGAACAAATTAGCAGTACACTGACCGACTTTGTAGCCTACGCTGCCAAATCGTATATATATTTTAACACTTAACAAGCCTAATATTATGCAACGGCATATGAAATATGTTTCGTTTTAGATGACCCCGTTGCGAATGTTATTAAATTGCTAATTTAGAGGAATAACTTGTGTAGTAAAAGCCACGAACGTGCCCAGTGGGATTCTAAAATAAAGATTTATTTGTCTACTTTATTTCAAATAATCACATAATATATTTAATTTAACATGAAGTAAACAATTTAACAGTTATTTTTATTATATACTAGCGACCCGCCCTGCCTTCGCCTGGGTGGTGTCTATTTTACAATTTCACAAAAAGTCATCAAGCTGTTAAGTTTATTGTAACTTACAAAGAAACAGAATAACAAACGCAAATACATACGTACATATATATATATCTCAAATGGAAAGACCTATAAAACTCTATCCTTAAATACAGAGGGTACCCCTAGACATTCCTCTTCCTTCTATTCTAATTCTTTTACGACTATGGCATTCTCTCTCCTTACATATTAAAGAATCTAAATCTCTTCCTATATTTAAAAATAAATTAAAACTTTATTACCTTTCCTCTTAAGTTACTACCTGTCGTCATTCACTTTTTTTTTCTTTAATTACTTATGTTCTTCTATTTATCTTTCTATATCATATTCTGTACACCCCGTCCGCTATCTTTTAAAATAGTATCCTCTGCCCTAAGGTTGCCTGGAAGAGATCGCTGTTTTAGCGATAAGGCCGCCTGTTGTACCAATGTCCCTTTAAATATATAAATACTGTAATATGTTCCCTGGTGTACAATAAAGTATATTTTACTTTACTTTACTTTTAATCCAAAGAGGATAAAGAAATAAAATTAATCCATAAATTAGTGATCTTTTTAGAAGAAAATCCTAAACGGTTTCCTAGATTTATGATAACAAAAAAAGTTAATAAATTGTGTATTAAATTTTAAACATTATTTACCGTTTTGAAAGTTAACTTCCATAGATTAATGATAGGTCATCGCGCGCTCTGCGATGACCTATCATTAATCTAAGTTAACTTCTGTTTAAACTATTAATTAGAAACTAAATGCACTTCTTTCCTGTATTTTAAAAATAAATTAAAACTTTATTACCTTTCCTCTTAAGTTACTACCTGTCGTCATTCACTTTTTTTTTCTTTAATTACTTATGTTCTTCTATTTATCTTTCTATATCATATTCTGTACACCCCGTCCGCTATCTTTTAAAATAGTATCCTCTGCCCTAAGGTTGCCTGGAAGAGATCGCTGTTTTAGCGATAAGGCCGCCTGTTGTACCAATGTCCCTTTAAATATATAAATACTGTAATATGTTCCCTGGTGTACAATAAAGTATATTTTACTTTACTTTACTTTTAATCCAAAGAGGATAAAGAAATAAAATTAATCCATAAATTAGTGATCTTTTTAGAAGAAAATCCTAAACGGTTTTCTAGATTTATGATAACAAAAAAAGTTAATAAATTGTGTATTAAATTTTAAACATTATTTACCGTTTTGAAAGTTAATTTCCATAGATTAATGATAGGTCATCGCGCGCTCTGCGATGACCTATCATTAATCTAAGTTAACTTCTGTTTAAACTATTAATTGGAAACTAAATGCACTTCTTTCCTGTATTTTAAAGGAATCACAATTTTTTCAAAAATATATTATTTAAGAATAATTAGATTTATTTCGTCTGTTCGTGAACTTTCAACTAATACAATTTCGCAATTCGCGCAATGATTTCCGCTCTTATTGTTGACCGGTATTAACAGAGAGGAAGCAGAACCAAAGAGTGCTTCCCTGTGTACATCCTGTGAAATAACATTTAATAGGCCAATTTAGGATTGCTTTTGAACCCTCAAATCTTCTCCTATAGATTTAATTAGGTATTAGTTTAAAAGTAAAAATTGAATATTCTTTAATAAAATTACCTACCTAGATCGAAACGACAAGAAACGGAGCAGCGCCCTTTAATGCTGTAATTATTTCAACACAATTCTCCACCTCCTCATTTGGCGGTAATAAGTCCACAAAGCCTCTTTTATATTGCCATGTTTGGCAAGGATTCGGCTTTCATAGCCGGATACTCAAGACCGGCGTTTCACCTCGAGCCAGTCGTGAAGGTTCCTTTTAGTTCATCGTGGGTGACCAAGCTACAGCAACTAAGGGTCCCCACCATGATAAGGCGGGAATACGGGAGGGAGGGAGTTAAAAGAAGGCTGGTTCAACGCGATTCAATTAAGGCAAAAATGTCATAAATGGAAAGTGTGCTTGTTGGTTTATCCTTCTTGCACGCAGCAAAGGGGCATTGATCGACGTGCTATTTTGCGTAGAGAACCGGAGAGTAACATAGGCTATATATCTGGAACGTAATTCTGTAATTACCTCTTTATGTTATTTTAGGTCTTGGAATAACACACTGTGATTGTGATTTTTCGAAATTATGTGACTTTCTTACTTCCACACGGGCGAAGCCACGGGCAAAAGCTAGTAATTGTGTATATCTAA